AGATAATAATTAAGTATTCTGTTAGAACTCAATGATTATCCTAATTATATTTTAGATTTTTTATATTTAAAATAAGATGTTTATCTTGTATTTGATTATTTTTATCTGCAATTAATTACACGAATTCAGATATGGAGCTTCACAATCTACTTGTAATATTGAGTTTTAAGTGACATTAATAAACAGTACTTTACGCATAAAAAGTGGTTTTTAAGAGTTTTTGTCAAATGATTTATAATATAGAATTTTTTTTATATAATTTAATTTAAGTTCAATAATAAAACAATTTATTTTTGGTTTAATATTATAAATTTTATAAAGATAATAATTAAGTATTATGTTAGAATTTAATGATTATACTAATTATATTTTGGATTTTTTATATTTAAAATGAGATGTTTATCATGTATTTGATTGTGTTTATCTGCAGTTAGTTACACGAATTCAGATATGGGATGAAATCGGATAAGGTTGAACGGGTTTAAGAATTTTTAAGAGTTTTTAAGAGTTTTTGCCAAATGCTTTATAATATAGTATAGATATTGATTTATTAGTGAATATCAAAAATCTTAAATAATGATATTTATAATTGAGTGTTAAAATCTTTTTCAATAAAATGCTAAAAATAAAGTTACCTAATAAAAGGAGAGATATTTTAATAAATCATAAAACATAAAAAAATATTCTTTAATAATTATTATTTATTGTAAAAATTATTATGATATACTGATTTACAATAAAATGGTAGACCTTATGATTTGCCGTGTCAACATAAGTGTCGTTCAAAATGATTGGTCGGCAAAAAGAATTGGATTTACAGGTCTTGAATTATCAAGACCTGTAAAATTAAAGATTTGTCAACCGTTTGAAGATAATGTTATAATAGAAGAAATTGATTTAAATTTAAAAATTAAAAGTAATAATATAAAAAAATGCATCTTATGTTTGGACCAAATATCCCATTAAAACATATCTTGCTAACTACAAAATTTATAAAAATATTATCAATTTAAATTTACACACATATATATATATATATATATATATATATATATATATATATATATATATGAGAGAGAGAGAGAGAGAGAAGGGGGGAAACATTCAAAATATCATTTAATTTATTAGTAGAAACAAACAACATGCTAGTGTCGGTAAGAATATTACCTCTTTTTCACTCACAACAAAGTAAAATGATATATATATATATATGTATATGTATATATATATGTATATATATATGTATATGTATATGTATATGTATATATATATATATATATATATGGGTTCATGTGAGACCAAAGGTTTTTTGTGAGACCCGTTAGACCAATTTATGTTCATGAATCAACTTTATGAGCTAATGATCTAATGAACTAAAGTTGTACGGTGACAATTTCGTGATTATTGAGAAGTCTTGTGACAATTTTGTGATTATGAATGTTCAAATTGTAGATCTAATCCAAGGATTGAAAATTGATTTTACGGGTCTGACGAAAAATCTTTGGTCTCACATGATCCCAAGTCTCTCTCTCTCTCTCTATATATATATATATAAAGGTTCAAACGAGAACGTGAGAATGCCCTTTTTACTATAGACAATCACATGTGATACTATTTTGTTATCACATATGATACTAACTTAGAGACGCATACGATTTTCGATGTGATCTTGGTTGTGGGCCAAGTCGCCCTTACACCACTAAGCCCCCTCACAAGTATTCACATCACATGTGATAAGGGTGTTGTTGATATAATACTATAATCCATCAAAACAATCACATGTGATGCTAAATCATAGACACAAACAACTTTTGACGCGACCTAAGTCGTAAAATACGTCGTCCGCACATCACAGGGTCTCCTTACGCGTTTTATCACATGTGATAAGGGTGTTCTCGTAAAATGGAGGTGTTCCCGTTTAAACCTCCGCACACACACACACACACACATATATATATATATATATATATGTATGTATTGCATTATTTACCTATCCATGCGTAAATAAACCTATTAGATAGTGATATTTAAAATCATCATTATTTGCAGATGAGTCAAACTTGTGCTTTTTATGCTTTTCCCACTACCATACTTGTTTATTGGCTTGATCATGGTCCCGACCTTTAATTATGTGATATAGTTAAACGTATATCATCAAAAAGCAAATAAACCACAATATTCTATTGCTAACATTCATATCTGCAATAAAAATATCTTTTATTCGGCATGATAAACAAGGATATATAAAATATTACACCTCTACCCATGCCTATTCTACAGCTAACGTACACTAAAATCTGAAATGCACTTGTAATATTAAAAAAAGGGTTGCAAAAACAACCGATACGTAATAACATTCTGTATTTACAAAACCTGCTTTTGTCTTTCACTTCCAAGACTTCTAGACTGTGTTATAATCGAGTCGTACGTGCCAAAGAAAGATAATTATATAATGTACAAGTCTAGAGAAGGGTTCAACGATCACAGCGTTGATGGTCAAGTTTAGAACCGTTCTCATATGATAATTTGTACTATATTCGATACAAGTTGCATTTCACTTTGAATTTGACTAATCAAACCTAGGAAAGGCTCCACTCATCAAATTAACCTCGGAAAGGGTTTCATCGAGAAAAAGATCATTTAAGTAACTTCCAGTGTTGAGAAAATCCATCCGAAAATGATCATGAGAGCTGGTAGTTACAGAAGAATCTTCATGATCAAATCCCACAAACGATATTGCAGCTTCATGACCATGCCCATGACCATGACCATGACCGTAACCCAATATCTCGTCCCACCCTAAAACAGGAGATGAGCGGTCATCATTGGCCGACGAAATGGTGTCGGATACATCAATACTTTGGGCCTTGGATTCAACTTCATGTTTGACGGAGGGCTCATTGTGGATATTTGTAATAGTTGAAGGGCTGTTTGAGAAATAATGATCGTTTTTGGAATCATTGAAATCAAGGACAAGTGGTGAGTGCGAGAAAGCATTTGGACTTGGGCAGGTGTGTTGGCCAAAATATGTGATGTGGAATCGGTTCGATCCATCTTCCAATTTCTGAACCTGTTTTTGTGCTTTGCAGCCATAAACAGGTTTGTGGGTGCACCTGTAGTAGCACCTGCACAACCACAAAAATAAACAAATTTAATTGGTTTGTTGTATTAATCAAAAAATAAATAAAAAAACAAATGCGAAATTAAGAAGTAGGACCTTGGGTGTTTGGAATGGAGGATCTCTTTCTGGCCATATTTCCTCCATGCATAACCATCATCAGCTGTATCATTAATCTTGACCCTTGAATCTATTGTCTTTCTGCAAGATTTTAATCAAGAAAACACATATTTTTAATTCAATTTCTTGTACAATATGTTTAATTGCATTAATAAATTAAACTTTGTAGCACATACCTTCTCTTGTAACAACCTCTGCGTTCCTTCACAGCCGCCGCCGGTTTCTTGCCGGAGTGAACTTCCGGCGTCTGGTCAACAGAAGAAGCCAAATTACCCACATGGGGACTCGCCGGAACTCCAGAAAACTCGCCGGAATCGCAACCATCCAACAACAAAAGACCACCGGAGAAAGATCCAAGTATTTCCATCACAAGACAGTAAGCAGAATCCGACCCATCATCATTCTCTCTCCGGGGAAGCAACTTCTGCAGCCTTTTTGCAGAATCTTGGCCTCTAATTAGGGTTTCGGTTAATCTTCTCTTGTTTTTCTCCATTTCGGATTACAGAGAAATGGATAACTTCAGATGTGTATCTATGGATATCTCGTTTACTGTAAAGTGGAGTTGGAGTGAGATCTGGTTTATATATGTTTTTTAGAGAGAGAAGGAGGGTGTACTTTTAGAGAGAGAAAGGAAGGTGATAGGAAGCAAGTACATGAACTTCTGGGAAATTTCTGAAAGTAAAAATAAATCTAGAAAAACTGAGGTATGACGTCATCTTTGTGCGTCATTCACTCGTCATCTATCTTGCTTTTCTCCCACCAATAATTGAAAACCCAAGTAAAGTGGTTCTATAGGGAACGATTTGTCACCAAAAGATCCGACCCGACTTCCCGATTTGCATGGTGGGAAAGTATTTTTGTGGCATTTTCGGGAATTTTGAAACATTTGTGGCCCAAAATGTAAGACGGTAAACCCCTTTTCTATTTTCGGTATATTCTGCTGGATGATGAGATGAAGAATGGGTTCATTTAACCTGCATTTAATTTTTGTCTTTTTCCAAGCATCACACCTTACGTAGCATTCTCCAAAATTTCGAATAAATTAAGGTGAGATGTATAAGATGACATCTGAATATTTGGTCACTTTAATCTTACTCTCAATTTGTGGATTACGTTTAATACGAGAATTGATCCGGTGCACATTTCATTACCATTGATTTTTAATTATGATTGATCTAAGGGCGGAGATCTTTTATTACCCTTCTCAACAGAACTAATGTAAACGTTAGTTACAGCCTTATAGGAACCATGATCAAAACAAATTGAATATCACAAGTAGGAGTGAGCAGCGGAATTGGGTACCCATTTGCGGAACTGGAACTGCCTTGGAAATGCCAGTTCCGGAACCGGAACTGATATGAGTGGTTCCGGTTCCTAAAATTCAGAACCGATTGAGAATGGTTCCGGTTCTCAATTTTTCGGAACCGTTACCCGTCGGGACCAGTTTCGGGACCAGGTACCCGGAACCGGCAGGTACTCTGAACCGGAACTGGCGAGTACCCGGTATTTTTCAATTAAAATAATAATTAATTTTTTTAATTCTAAATTTAAATTAGTTCAAGAACTTAGAACTCTAGATTAGATTTTTGGTCCCGCATCTGTGCCTCATCGACTCATACTCTCAGGCCTGAAGTCTCTCACGAATTGTCTTCATCGAATTATAGTATGTAATCATTAAACTTTAAACATTTACAACTATAGTATGTAATCGTTAAACTTTCAACATTTACTATTAGTCTACTATGGTTTGTAATCGTTAAACAATATTTGTAACCATTATTTCGTATAATTTGTATTCGTGTTTATTTATCTAGTGTTTTGGCAATGTTTTATTTTTTATTTCTAAATAACAACATTTTAATATTTTAGAAAGCGGGTACCCGGAACCGGAACCGGAATCTGTTCCCGTTCCAAAAATTCAAGAACCGCTCTAACCGGTTCTAGTTCAAATATCTCAAGAACCGCCGATTCCTATCAAATAGGAGGGGTACCCGTCTATGCTCACCCCTAATCACAAGTACCAAATCCACATCAAACATATTATAGTGACTCTTGTTAGAAAGAATATGAGAAGGAAGTAGATTCAGATATAGTTAAATACTGAATCGAAAAATATAGAATTTTAATTTCGTCGTGTTCTTATGACGGCATTGATCTTTCCATATCGTAAGTTCTAGAATGTGAGAAAAACTAGGAGAGCCGATTTTCCCAGAAATTTCAAAAAGCTATTGACCTTCATTTACTTTGAAAAGTAAATAAAACAAATGTTGCTGTCCACAATAAAGACACTTTGCATTGAATGACAATTAATGACCCACGTTATTTAATTAAATAAATACATCTTTCTGGGGTTTGTTTTTTTAATTGACAATGATTTTGAGAGAATTAAATAATTTTAATCGATTGTTTCTTCCTGATTTGGAAAATGGGATGTGATGGAAGCTCCTGCGAAGATATCGTCAAATAGAAAACGTGAATCAGTCGTTGGGTGCTATTCAGGGATGAAAATGAAGAAAAGAATTAAGTCGTGAATGGGTATCTGAACGAACATTTCATACCCGCTTTATGTCTGTACTTCTATCCTTGCCACATCCCGTTTGATCCCTGGTGGGTTCGAAGAGAAGGGATTCTTGTCAGGTATCGGATTAATCCGTTAGGTATCTGATAAATAATAATATAGTTTCAAATGAAACTTTTTAGTTTTTATAACAAATAATCGTTCTTTTAAAGATTAATATTATATAGACGCAACCATTGCAGGAGCGTGTTTTCATGTGACCTTGGGGGCAGTTTGGTTGGTTTCTATTAAGTCATGTGTGAATTAATTTGTCTGTGTAAATTGAGAAGATTTTCTTCATAGAGAAAGGAGCGTTTTTTTTAATTGTGAGAGACATGTATGGAAAAAAAACTTGCTTTTTACATTAAGCCCCCTATATTACGGATTAAGTCACGTTCGATATCATTAAGCTACTTTTAAACAATCATGTATAGCTGAATGAATAAGTTGTGAGTCTCATTGAACTCATTAGGCTGCTAACAAACAGACCCCCTTAGTCTTGTTGATTAGTCGCCTGCATTTGTTGTAAATCACATGTAGTTTATTATAGATAGAGAATTGCATCTGATTTGACTATTATAAAAATATTTACCATATATTAAAATAAATTAGCATATACTAATATAAATTAACATGAAATGCTAAACATGTTAACTTATATGAACTTCAACTAACAAAGTCCTTCTTAAGCTTGTCATAAAAATTTGATTTTTCACCGGAATTTAATTTTATATATATATATATATATATATATATATATATATA